AATAATAATAATAATAATAATAATAATAGCATTCACTATCAGCAACATTTTGATAACATTATTATCATAGATTAAATTTTTAAATAAATAAATCCAGCATTTACTAAATAAAATTAATTCATTAATTTATCTGATAAATTCCCATACATCGTAATATTGTCCTCTTTATTCAAGTCAGCTTTTTTTTTCTTTTCACAAAAGACGAATTCTTCTTAATTCAAATAAAAATAACTTCTCACATTTGAACTATCATTTTGTAGCTTTTGAAAATTCTACAAAAAAAATAAAATTGACAGAACACTTATTTTATTAATTATTTTTATTAAATTGAAGCAGATTGCTTTTTTGGCAAAAAAAAACTAATTAACTAAGGTGTAAATGTAAATTTCGTGTAAGTTGAAAACAAAATGGAAATTTAATTTAATCTAACAATTGCTACCATCAAACTTCAATAAAAAGTTTGAAGACTTTTTTTTTCTCAAACAACCTTTCCTGAAATCCATTGTACTTCAAATGATTTCTTGTTTGATAAATCAAATGGTATCGAAAAAGATTCGGAAAATAAATCATATTAATATAGTAAAGTTTTTCCGTTTGCAGTGAAATTGATGAAACGCTTGAGGACATGAAACTATACGTATCCCATAGGTCAACAAAAGATATCATTAAGGATGGAAGTCTACGTAGCATCAGCTAGCCTTTTACATATTAACATCGTACGCATAAATTTATGAGATTATGTTATAAAAATTTATGTAACAATGTATGATGCAATAATATGAAGACTTGGGTCAGGTCATAACCCCGGTCAATTTGAAATCAATTTGACCGCTGGTCAAACAGTAGCAGCGATAGGCCGAGAAGTATTCCACGGCTGACCTTCTCAGCTGAGTTAAAATTGGATAGGTGACTATTGAGGTGGGTGGTTTTGCGTGTTGTCGAAGGAGTTACGGTGATATTTTGATGGTCGACCCGGTTTAACCTGTCCAGACTTCACGCAATCGAGTAATCCTAGACTGTATAATCCGGGAAAATTAGATCACAGATTGTGGTACTTGGCCTAGTCCGCCCGTATTAACCATTCAGGGGAGAACGTTTGAAACAGATGATAATCGAGAGTGTAATCATTTTGTTTGATAATTCAGTGATTCCTATAATAGGAAAGGTCAACATGCCATTATCAGGAAATTTGCTGCACTGAATGACCGGAAAAGGAAAATCATATAATTTAGAAAATGATGCAGGTTATCATCAACTGCTGGGTATTTACAGGAGATTGTATGTTATAGATATTCTGCATAATAATTAAGGATTAAGAAATTCCATTAAATAAGTTATCATACATTTGTAACCGTAGTGTGGCTAGTGATTGCAATCTTCCCTGTTCCAGTTTATCGTACCCAATTTCTGCTTATATCTATTTCATTCATTTATCCACTTGTTTATATCTTTTCACCTATGCAGTTATTCATTCAGCTCATCTATCCGTTTATGTACGAATTGTCCGCTCTGTATGATTGAACGTCCAGAAAAATGGCTCAGAAAATGGCTTCGGCTCGGAAGACAGGTTGTTATCGTCTTTTTTTTTCCGTTTTTGTATTTTAACCCAAACATGTTTTCATTTGTATACTTCTTTATAGGCATTTTCTTAAGTGTTGTCACATTTTTATAAATGGAATAAAGTCGAATAGTTTAAGAGAATAAACATGGAAAGTAATTGACAAATTATAGATGTGAGAAGTGAATTAGAAAGTATTGGACGATGTTTGGAAGGTGAAGAATTGGTGAAAGCGTTGATGGAACGAGTTTTGGCAACTGAGGAAGAAAAGACTACTCTGGCAAACAAGGTTGAAGAGCTATCGAAAATGCAGAAAATGGCTACCAGTCTAAGGAAACAAAATGAGTTGGTGAGGAACCAGTAGATATATTCGATTGTAGCATCGTATATCTTCCCATCTCAAATCATATTATCTCATATAGGCGATGTAAATGTATCTCGAACTCATTCACCCATCTCTTATACTTTTTAATAATATTTCCTCTAACTGTAAATTTTTTCAGAAGTTATCACCATATCAGTCCATTTTTGTTCATACCAGTATTTTAGTCTATTCTGAAAATTTTTCACGACAGTTCCTTGGAACAGATGTTCAAATGATGTGAGAGAAGATGGAGGCCATCTGCGTCAGAATGTAAAAATGTAATTGCAGGAAGCAAGGCATCCATAAAGTATCGAGGAAATATCCATTTATATCTCATTGTAGTTAACCAAGAAAGTGGAAACAGTTGAGGGAGTATTAATGAAGACCGAACTAGCGAAATCGAAATTGGAAAATTTATGTCGAGAAATGCAAAAGGCGCAACGGAAAGCACACGAGGAACATGTAGAGAAATTACGTGAGTTGGAAAGAAATCGTAAAGATATGATTGAACAGTTCAAAGAATCAGTAACCGGAATTCAGGTAAACAGTATTTCGAATCATTTTTTCAAACTTTGGCAGGAAGTCGAAAAGAGGTAAGATTGAGGAATTTGTAGTTTGCCATGGAATCTTTCTCAGTAATTGTTACAAGTACTAATCTCTCTTTCCTTTCTTTAGCTTATTACTGCTTATTAAGAAATCGATGGAATCGGGACGAGAAACATCAGAAAAACTAACAAACGACAATGCAGTGCTGTCGGAGAAATTAAAAGTTTTGGCACAAGAATATGAAAACAGGGTGGCTGAGCTTTCGAAACAGTTTACCGAAGTATGTCAGAAATATTTCCGCAGATTCATCATCAGGTGTTGGTGTTCTCGATTGACGAGTTAATTTTCGTTAGTTGAGACTGATTATTTAGATAAGATTATTTCAAAATTAAGGAATGAGATTTTCGATAGCCGCTGGAATATTCTCATGTGTCATTGTATTTCACGCTTTCGTATACGTTATTGCAGAAAACGGAGTACTGCGAAAAACTGACAGCGGCTCGTGACATGGAAGTGGAACTATATAAAACAAAGCTTCAGGCTGCTGTATTGGATACACAAAAATGCACACAAGAAAAAATACAGTTACAAAGCGAGGTTCTTTGTTTGCTTCACCAGTCACCTTGTAGGTGAAAGGGTTTATCATAATTAGGAAGTATTCCTGACTAGTGGACATAATCGAAGAAAAAAACCTTAATTTTATATTTTTGTAGTTCTTCTATCTTATTTCTACATAGTTTACAGTTATCTTACTTTAGTCAGTTATGTAGAGACACATCATATGCTCCTGCACTTCATTAGCACAGGTCAGTTCTTAGTCAGTTGTCTCTTGTGCTAATGAAGTGCAGAAGCATATAATGTGTCTCCACATAATTGACTACAATGAATAATTAGCCAAAAAGATTTAATAAAACTTTCCATCTCCTATTTGCAGTTACTAGCTCGTGAACAGAAAATGAAGGAAGTCCTCGAAGGAGAGAAGGCAATGCGTGAACAGATCGATAAGTATACAAAGAAATATAATGAATTGCATTTAAGTCTCAATAATTCGAATGAAACATTTGATAAATTTCGACGTGAAATGGAGCGTATGAATTCAAACGTTATCAAGGTAGAGAAAGATGCGCGAAAGTGGAAAATAAAATATGACGAAACTGCTCAGTAAGTTTTCTTCTTAGTATCTATAATTTAACTTCAGAAAACGAGTTCCTCATATAGCTTTTGAAAAAAACTTCAGTGATTCTGTAATTTGGATATGGTCAAATAAGTTTTTATTTTGTTTTTAGTCAAAATATCTTGGCATTTTTATTACTAATAGAGAGAACAGATCCAGCGTATTCATAGCCTATTTCTCATGCCAATGGATTATTTCAGGGCTTTGGCTGCTGCAACTTTGAAAGTTAAAGAAAGTGAAGATTTATGCGCATTAAAAGATCGACAACTGCAACAACTTCAGAATTTGTGTCGCACTTTAAAATCTCAAATTCCTAGTAACCAGTGATGTGCTTATAAAAACACTCATTTTCATGCCTTTTTTCCTCTCTTTAAATTCTCACTAAAATTTCATCCGAGGATATATCAGTCTTTATCTTCATTTGATCCGCCAAGCATTGAGGGAATGAATTTAACACACCAATTGTGAGAACTTGTATCATTATGCACAGTCTTTCAGAAGTCAAACTTCTACACTCTTTCAATAGTTACTTGTTTATTGCATTTATTCAGCACTGTACTGTTTTTAAAAAGCATTGAGTGCTAATCATTTTAATGTTAATATTTATTATGAAGTGCTTTTCACTGAAACTCTTTCAATTTGTTTGATTCGAGCTAGTGATCAGCAGCAAAAAACATCCATGCTTCACAATACTACCATTTCATTAATACGGCGACAACTTGCTGTTTTTCATCATAACTTGCAAATAAGGTATGATATGCTCGCATGTAGCACATTTGTAAATTGTCCTATTAAGCTTGGTTTGTGCCATAAATTGATTTCCGCCTTATATTCAATCAACAGAACTCAATGAATCCGGAAATATGGGGATTAAAGATTTATGGAAGCTGGGTACTTTTTTTTGGGAGGGGGAAAGCAAAAGGACGATTTTTTTTCTTTTTTTTTGCCAAATTGTTTAAATGATTCGATCAAATTCACCTGCCAATAGCAAATTATGGGTTCGAAATTTTGTAATTATCCACTCTTACCAATGAAAAACATAGGATAATTGCTAAAATCCCGTTGCAACATGCAAATTCAAAGGCATCAAATGGTAGTCAGTTTATTCTTAGTAAAAAAAAAAACCTGAGAGTTCCAGATGAAAGGGAAATATTTTAATGAATGCATTTCGCTGCTTTATTAATGCATTAGTGAGAGATACTTCTTTTCCGTTCATCTCGATCAACATATATTAACAATGCCTTCTGAATTTGATTATGAATTCTAATAATTGTCTTCTATCTCATTCCTTCTTATAAATCATTTTAAAAAGTTTTTCCAAACTCCATTAATTATCTTTATAACTTAAAACTTTTCAATAATTTTTTTTTTTCTAGGATATCTTAAATAATACAATACATATATTTCTATGCATTATCATAATTAGAAAATCGAAATTTAGGAAAAATTATAAAATTTCTAATTTAAAACATATTAAAAATAGCAAAGTAATAATGATTGATTGTTTTGGGAAAATTGTTGAAAAAAAAAAAAAAGGGAAAAGAAAAGTTTAAGATTGCTTTCCTTATAACAAAATGAAAAAAAGATAACATTTATGACGGATGGTCTTTCAATTTCTTTTTTTTTTTTTTTTTTTTTTAATGACATTTAATTTTCTATATTTTGCAAAACTAAAAAGAATTATCATTTATCAAAAATGGGACATTATAACATGAAATGTGTATCAGTAAAGAATAGATAACTTATTATATTTTAATACCATAACTTTATCATAATTCTTGAAATTCATGATCCTTAATAGCTTAACTTTATCATAATTCTTGAAATTCATGATCTTGAATGGCTTAACTTTATCATAATTCTTGAATTTCGTGATTTTTAACAACATAATTTTATCGTAATCTTTATTAAATATAATCTTTTCTATACTCATATGAATACTTATCATATTTATTGTACTTATCATACTTATCATATCTACACTCATATGAATACTTATCATATTTATTAGTGTCAAAGCAAAGGTACACTTTTATCAATTATAAACATCATTTTTTTAATTATAGTTATGAGTATTTTTTATTATACTATATATATATATATATATATTTTGATTATAATACTTTTTGTTAAAGTTATATTCTTATCACTGCTATCAGTTATAGTTAACTTTGATTTCTTCTATCAATTATAGCTATACTTTTATCACTGTCATTAATTACTATTATGGCTTAACTTAGTTACATTCATTTTCATCAGTTATCAATTTCTGTTAGTTATCAATTTTTATCAATTATCAATTACAGATTATTTGGTTTTGCTTTCAGTACTTCAAATATCTGCCTTTGTATTTTGAAATGACAGAACGGGTGCTGCTGCTAGTTATGTAAACGTGTGTGTGTTTGTGTCTGTGTCTGTATGCGTATGTGTGTGTGTCTGTGTCTGTGTCTGTATATGCGTATGTATGTGGTTGTGTGTATGTATGTGCGTGTGTATTGTGTATGTGTGTGTATGTGTGTGTATATGTATGTATGTATGTATGCTTGTATGTAGAAGCGTTTATTTTGCTGTTATTGATAATTCTAGCGTGCAAGCTCGTTGCATACATATTCATAAAAATTTTATTCTACTTTTAAATTACCTTAAATAATTTATTATAATATTATTTGTTGTATGTAATATTACAGTATAAATGCATGTATAAAAGTGATAAATATTTTAATCAATAAATTGTATAAATTGCGCCGCCATATATTCATCAATGAGACAATTTGCATATTTATAAAATGATGAATATTACAGTGTTTATCAATCAATGAATGCAGTTATCATTGGATGTGAAGTGTTTGTAGAAGATATTATCATAAATTAAAATTTTATGCAAGAAAAAAAAATATGGAAACAAATGAGAAACAAATAACTTTTTGTATCAAACGAGCTATTTTTAATCAGGTCAAGTTTGTTACATATTTGATCCTATGAGTTATTATTTTTAATCAGGTCAGGTTTAGTACATATTTGATCTTATGGGCTATTTCTAATCAGGTCAAGTTCGTTACATATTTGATCTTATGAGTTATTTTTAATCAGGTCAAATTTAGTACCTATTTGATCTTATGAGTTATTTTTAATCAGATCAAGTTTAGAAACATATTTGATCTT